ATGGGGTCGTGATGGGTCGGACACGACTTTGCAACTAACAACAACAACAACCATTTTAAAGTTCAAGAGACCCTGGAAGTGGGAAGGCTGATAATAAACCTTCATGTTTAGATAGCTCATTCATGTGTTTTATATGTTGTAGTAACCCTGAAACAATCCTGTGAGGCTAGTGTGTGTGATAGTGGTGATGATACACTGATGCCTCACAGTTGCTTACCTAAGGGAGTGGGGGGCAAATTTCATTTTGAAGATGCTAGTCCCTGTGGTGGGCAGGTCCAAAGGCAAAGGGATTGGGCCATATGCCACATATTTTAGTAAGGAACCCTTAGAGGAGGCAGTTCAACCTTTTAGAACAGCTGAGGGTAGAGACGAATTGCACAGCATCCAAGAAACAGGCCAAATGACTGGTGGTTAGGAGAAAAGGGTGAGGCCAGGCTCTGGGTATGGCCTGCAGTTCTGCACCCCTGTCCTAGGGCAACCCAGCTGGTGTGTGGCAGAGGTGGGACCTGACTCAGGGGCTTCCTGGTTTGTAGGTTAGTCTCTTTGATGCCAATGTGCTAGGACTTACAAGTCTCATGACAGACCCGTTTTTCTCCACCCAGGTGGTGAAACTGAAGGATGTCTTCCCCCACGGCACGGGGTTTGTGCTGGTGTTCGAGTACATGCTGTCCGACCTGTCGGAGGTGATTCGCAACTCTGAGCAGCCTCTCACAGATGCTCAAGTGAAAGGCTACATGCTTATGCTGCTCAAGGGGGTGGCCTTCTGCCATGCCAACTCCATCATGCACCGGGTGAGGCCTGTTCCAGCTGACCACAAGATCATGTCCTCCTTCCTGAAATGAAAGATCATTTCCTTCTCACCTTCTTTGACCTGCTGGCACTGTGGAGCTTCACCTTACTGCTCTTCCTTCACATCCACAGCTATTTTTGAATAGCTGCCTGTCTTTTTCAGGACCTGAAGCCAGCAAATTTGCTGATCAGCTCCACAGGTCAACTGAAAATTGCTGACTTTGGCCTAGCCAGGGTATTCACCAACAATGGAGAAAGGCTGTACAGCCACCAAGTGGCCACCAGGTAACAGGGATGGGAAAGGGTGTGGACAGAGCTTTAAGCCAGGGGAGGAGGAACCCCTTCCCACCCTGTATTCCAAGACCCCTGAGAGTGAGTGCTTTCAATGTTAGGAGGCTGTGAGGTCCAGGTACATTGGAGCAGGGGCTGCCAGAAACTGGGATTCACATGCTGCTAGAAAATCTAAGCTTCCAAGATGGCTGGAGACAGGACCTGGTGGGTTTGGATGCCCTCAAAAGTATGACTTGCAGGATCTTCTTCATTAGGTGGTATCGGGCCCCTGAACTCCTGTATGGCGCTCGGAAGTATGATGAAGGTGTGGATCTGTGGTGAGCATCTTTGCCATATATTTTGCTGTTTAGGGTTTGGATCCACCCCCTCCTATTCCATTCCTAGAATGGAATTCTGCTAAAAAAAATCTGTTTCTATCATCGAATAGCCAATGGAACAAAAGACTCCTGGCAATCTGCAAAATTCAGACAGAGTGGATTTCACCAAGTCCATGCATCTCTAGCTGCAGGAGAGCCTTGCAACCTGAACACTAGGGAGTCTTGCAGTTCTTAAGCAACCACTGTTGGTTTCCTGGACATAAGCTGCAATAGGGGGCACACAGAAGGACAAGGATATTGAACCTCAAGGGCAAGACTTGTGGGCCAAACCGAACACTTTGGGATTCACCAAACAGCCACATCCTCTTCCCTGTTCCCCAATTCCCAATTGTTTGGTGGTATCCTGGATTGTGTGTGGTTTTCCCCTGTTCTGAAGGTTTGAAATGCCTCTCCTGGGGCTTTGTTGCTGACACTGGGCTATGCTAGCAAAAGCTGCTGGGAGTTGAAACCCATCTGTAGATTTACTTGCTGTTCACCCTTGATACGAACAATATGAATCCTATTTAACTGCCCAACCTCTCAACCCAGGAACCCTGGAAGGGAGCCAAGATTTCTTTGCACCCTCACTGCTAAGAAATCTTGGGGAAGGCAGTAGAGGAAGCCAGAACACAAAATCCACTTCCACACCTGTTTTGAGTTTGTAGTGTGGAGTTTCAAACAAGGGCTTGGGTAGATTCTGGGGCTCTGATGTTTCACCTCCCACTTGGACCCTTGTCTCCTGAATCTGCCGCTTTCTCTCCAACCAGGGCTGTGGGCTGCATCTTTGCGGAACTCCTCAACAATTCTCCACTCTTTCCTGGGGAGAATGACATTGAGCAACTGTGTTGCGTCCTCCGAGTGCTTGGGACACCTAACACAAAGAACTGGCCGGTGGGTCTCGTAGCAGACAGATTGGTTGCAGAGCCTGGGGCCAGGTTCCTGTCCTTAGTCTGTGAAAGGGGGACTTCATGAGCTGAGGTACAGTTTCCATCCCAGTCTCCCTTTCATTGGGACAGGAGATCACCGAGCTGCCAGATTACAACAAGATCTCCTTCAAAGAGAAGTCACCCATCCCCCTGGAGCAGGTGGTACCTGATGCCTCTCCACAAGCCATGCAACTCCTGAAGCAGTTCTTGGTCTACCCTTCCAAGCAACGGGTGCAGGCAGCACAGGTATGGGGCAGAGGGTGGAGGGGGAGACTGTGCAGCCTGGCTTGGCAGACACCAGAATGTCCTCAGGAAGTAGAGCCCATGCCATAGGCAATCAGCAGCAATGCTCACTGTGATGGTTGGCAGTCATACAGACATATTTCAATTGTATTGTCGTTAAATCGGGGTGTTGACCCTAGGGCTGAACTCTAGGATGGGGTGGAGCCAGGCTACATTGTCATGTAGATGGAACCTAAAGTAATAAGGATTAGGCCAAAAACCCAAGCATATTGCTGCTCAGAGCTCAGTGACAAAGACTTAGGAGAAGTGTTTTAGCCTTTCAGAAAAGGGAAACTATGCAAAAAAAGAAAAATCATGAAAGGGCTGGAGAAAAGGTGGTGGAGCCAGCAGGAGCAGCCTTGGCTTTTCAGGAAACTCCAGGAGCATTGAGATTGGCCTGCAGGCCTGGGGTTCAACACCCCTGGTCTGAATGCTATATCAGGCACCATTGTATACATATGGAGACACAAAAAAGGCCTGCAGGCTTGGGAGTAGTTGGTCTTTTTTCCATTTGAAGCACACATAGGACTGCATTCTTAATAGGCAAGGCAGGCCTAAGCAACATGGGACTCTCCAGACCCCCAGGCATCCCACCAGCCATGTCTGACACCCCACCAGCAGTTTAGTTACATCACCTGTTTTCTGTTTCATTTCTGGGCAAGTGGAACATGCAGGAGGTTTCAGGAACCCATGGTGGGCTGTAAGTGCAGACCAGAGCTCAGTAGTTGGCATGAATCTTTGTTGAACACTGGTTGCAAAACTGATCTCCTCGGTAGATAAATGTAATGGTGATGTTGGTGTCTGGAGTAATCCTGGCCTTGGGTTGCCCCGGGTGTCTTGGTTTACTCCTGCTTGCTCACTCAGGGCACCTTCCCCTCCTCCTCATGCTTTAGCTTAGCACAAAGCAGGGAAGTCATAACAGCTGAGGAAATGGGTCAGGAGTCCACATCTTGACCTTGGAATCAAGTGCTGTCCAGGTGTGCTGAGAAGGGCTATGAAGACTGCTTAAAAATTATCATGCAGGACCCCCCCCCCCCCACACACACATCTTTTAAACACCTGCATTCTGTTTGTGGTTTGGAGTGTTTCAGAGTATAACTCCCATTGCCCCAAGTTTTGGCTGTGCTGACTGGGGGCTCATGGGAATCATAGTCCAAAACAGCGGGAGTGCATGGGGTTGCCAGTCCCTGCTGTACCTGCAGATCCCATTGACAGATTCTTGGAATGGGGTGATCAGGACTTTGGTCTTAACTCACAGTGAATGGAGGAATTTTGTTTCAGACCGCACTAGGGGGCGCTCCAGGCTGTGTTGCTCTTTGACCATGGAACCTTGTGACTTCTAATGGAGTTCTAATTGCCCATTTCCCCCAGATGGGGTGGGTGATAGGACACCCTCCTCACTCTCTGAAAGTGCTGTTAAGGCACATAATTGGCAATTAGTAATTGAGGTTGCATTCAGAGAAAATGGCTTTGTGTGGGCATACCTGGGAGAAAGAGAAAGAGCTGTGCAAGTACACACTGCACAAGGATGCTGCTTGCTTGCCACATACAGATGGGAGACACCTCAGAAGGACATTGCCTGATCCTGCCTAATCCTGGAAGCTTAGCAGCGTCAGCCTCGGTTAGATTCTGGATAAGTGACTTGAGTCCTGCATTAAACAGAGGGTTGGACCCAGTGACCTTCTAGGCCCCTTCCAGCTGTATGATTCTGTGATTCTTTGGGCTGGAAAGCATCCACGGGAAAGTTAGCATCACTTCCCTGCCTGTGGGCTTTCAGAGCCTCCTGCTGACCACTGTTGATGACAGGAGGACAGGCCCTTGGCCAAACTCAGCGAGACTGTTCTTTCTCCTTTTGCTCTCCAGGCACTGCTGCACCCCTATTTCTTCACAGCCCCGCTGCCAGCCCACCACTCCGAGCTGCCCATTCCCCAGCGTGGAGGCCAAAAGGCTCGTCAGGGGCCCCAGCACCAGCGTGACTTCCACGTGGAGCAGCCACTCAAAGAGTCTCTTGTGGACCTGGAGCTTGTGGTGCCGCATGTGATTGATAGTGAAGAGGGGATCTCTGGCTTTCAGTAAGCCTCTGGCTATTGCACTGAGTTCTGAGCCAGAAAGGCTAGCTTACCCCTGAGACAAGGGCATGCCTTTGTGGCCTTTGCAGTGTTTTGGCCTACAACTCCCACCAATGTAGCTTGGGGCCTGAGGAATCATGGGAGTTGTAGGCAAAAGCATCAGGAGGGCCACAAGTTGCCCATCTCTGCTTGGGGAGAACTAATGAGTTGAATGGCAGGATAGGGAATGGCAAAAGAGAGAACCGAGTGGCTGTGGCTGCTGCCACAGCAGTATAAACAGGAGAGGCTGCTCCAGTCCAAAGTCTCCTTTTACACTGTTTTTAAAGAGACACAGCTGTGCTTGTTGCCCACTGCACAATGAGACCAAAATCTGGCCTGGAAAGCAAGTTCCTTGTTCCTCTGAAGTAGGCACAAAAGGTTTCCAGGGAGGCTGCCCTTGTCAGCTTCCCCTTCCATTATTTTGGACCTTTCTTTTTATTTTGGACCTTTTTTGAGGCCCTCTGGGGGGCACCAGATGTTGTGTAATGGTGGCGGTATAGTTGTACTGCAGCTCTGTAAAGTTTTGTAATTAAACAGTCGGTAACAGTGAACCATCCTCCTGGCCTTTTTCTTGGAGCAAATACTGCCAGCTCTTGGGACTGATCCTGGCTTTAGCTGGAAGAACTAGAGGGAGAGATATTTTCCTTGAAAGGGGCATTCTTGTAAGTTGGCTTAACTCTTACCAAATTCTGCACCAAAAGCTTCCTAGTCCTGGTGTGGTTCAGAACAGGGATGTAGAACTCAGGGCAAATCCGGCCTGCCTGCAGTCCAAGGCTAGGATTTCCTAGTTGCCCGGGCATCTTTCCCCCACCCACAGGCCAGGATGGTTTCCTGGCTTTTGTGCTTTTTTTTCTGCATTTGGAAAAATGGAGGGATCTGGAAGTGCTAGTGTGTCGCTACCAGTATATTGTAGCTTAAAACTCTTACTTTCAGTGACTAAATCATGGGTCCTCAAACTATAGCCCAGGGGCCGGATCCGGCCCATGATGGCCATTTATCCGGGCTGCGTCAGTGGTTTTCAGCACAGTGTGCACGCCCGCCGCCTCCCACCCAGGGAGGCAGCAGCTTGCTTGCGAGGAGATTGTTTTGGACTCGCTAGAAGAAAACAATCTCCAAGTGAGCAAGCCACTGCATCACGGTGTGTGCCCGCCCCGCCTTGCCTCCCCTCCCCTCCCCTCGCCACGCACACCTGCCCACACCTCACTGCGCCTGCACACCTCGTCTCCTGCTCCCACGTCGGCCTGCACGCCCCGCTGGCACCACCTTTCTGGCCTGCGCCCAGTACTGGCACCTTTCAACTGTCCTCCTGATGAAAAAGTTTGAAGACCCCTGAACTAAACTTTGGGAAGAGCATGATAGCCATTCATAATAGGGGGAAAACTGTGCAAGACTCATGAAGAGTGGGTGGTTGGGGGGAAAAACATGTTACCATCTGGCTTTGGGCCCCAGGTGGGAGTGTCTGCACTCTTACACCAAATGCCCCACTGGAAATTGATTTCTGATTCACCATAGACTATCCCCTCCCATCCTTGGACCTCTGTATCTTCTCAGGTGCTTGAATCCACGTTATTACATTTCTATTTCACCTTTTTCCCCTCTGGCAAGGAATCCAAGGCAGCTTGCAAACTACTCTTCTTGCCCATTTTATCCTCACAGCTGCCCTGAAAAATAGGTTAACACTTGAGAATCCATGACTGGTCCAGATTCACCCAGCGAGCTTCATGGAGATTTCAACTCAGTTTTCCCGAATCCCATTCCTGAATCCCAGTGCAACCACTTTTAACTGCATGGTTCTCATGTCAGAGGTCCACAGCAGGGTTCCAGAACATTTTTGTCATTCTCTTTACTGCACCTGGTAAGGGGCACATTTGTCATCTTCTTCCTGATTGGGCTTGGGTTATGTTCAGTATTACTGCTTAACTGTATGTGGAGGTGAAAACCCAGCCTTCCCCAGCCCAGTAACTCAAAATCTGCCAGTTCATCTTCAGCAAGAGAAAAAAAATGTGCAAGTTACACAAAAGAATGTGGTTTGATGATTTGATCTAAGGAGTCAATCGCATCTGTCATTTTCAGAAGCAAACTTCATTCAACGGAAGCAACAATAAGTTATCTGAGACGTCCGTAGTCCGCAGTCTCAGTTGGGCCTAACTGCAGAATTAGGCATTGGGAAACAATAAAAGGAAAGGAGACACCAGAAACCACGGAGAGGAGCCCAGAACTTAGAGGAACCAAATAGGCTCTGATCTGAGTAGAAGCTCTTCCGAGAGCCCTGTTTGTACTCTAAGACTTTAGGGAATATTGGCTCTGTGAACCTCTGAGAGAGTGCAGAGCTTGGCACATATGGCTCCATGCATCCCATTCTTTTTTTTTATTGGGTGTATTCTGTGCACAAAAGGGGGGGGGATCCCCCAGTGCAGCTGTGAAGCAGTTTTTCAGTCATAACAAACAGCAGGAAAGCATGTGCATGCTAGTCCTCCTGGCCCTACAAGTTCTATGTGTGCTTTGGAGTCCCTGCACTGTGTGCACTGGCGCGCGACTAGATTGTGGCAACAGCCTTTTAAGTTTCTCTCTCTGACCACACTTTTCCTCCCTATTAAAAGCATCCAGGATCCTAACGGAGGCAACTCAGTGGCCCCCATGCAGAAGAAGGGCATATGACAAGCCCCACAGCCTTTTCCACCACCAGCACTGCTGTCTGGCCTCTGGAGATAACTTTATCTCTAGCTGCCCATCCTGCTGCATCATGGACTAGCTGCTTGTTTCCAGCAAAGTGGGTGGAGCCTGGGGCACCAGGCGGGCCAAGGCAAGGCCTTCCTTGACGGTTTCTCTGCCTCGTTTGCAGTCATTCATCCTGTGTCATCTCATAGGTTTGCTTTGGCATTCCCTGCCAATTATCCAAGAGCCTTCCTTCTAGACCCCTCATTTTCTCCATCATTTTGGGGAGTGGTGCAAATGGGAGATTTTCTCATCTGCATGGGCAGCAGTGGGGTGGTGGGGAGGGGAAGCACTCCCACTTTGTCAGGCAATACTTTCCTCCTGCATACACACCCCTTCATTGCTGGATCCCTGTGCTTAACTTGAAAGAAAGGCAGTTTCACACCCAAAGTGTATTGGAATCACAAATGACCCTAAAATAATGTACAATCCTCAGTCTCCTGACCTGAAAAATGAAAACATCAACCCTTGCTTGAGAGCAAATATGGCTAGGATGCGATGTAAAATATACTCTTATTTCTTTTTTATAAATGTAACATATGAAGGTCTCCCCACCACATTCACTGTGTTTCTTCCATACCCCACACTTCTTTTCCGGTGTTGCCATGCATGATATGAAGAGAAAAACATAAAGGCAATTGTCACAGTGCACCTGGCAGAGAAGGCAAGATGGCTTCACTTCCTCAGATAAAGGGAAGTGACAATGCTCCCAATCCAGGGAGAGTTCTCAGGCCTTAAGTCCTGCTGAACTCAGTGGGGCTTCTTCATTTAAAGATCAAGCAAGGCAGGTGGTGTGGAGATACCAGGTGCTTCCAGGTGAGTCATACTGCCTCATTCATGAAATTTAAGAGGTGTCCTGATGCTTCCCTTCCATTTGTACAAATCCTCCATATTTTTTCTCTTCACTGAGCGTGTTAAAAATTAAGAAGGAACTAGGAGCATTCAGAGCCATCTGCCCAGGAGCACTCACGAGTTTAATTTAACACTTGTCACAGTAAAGGATTGGGGGAGAAGCTGATGAATGACCTCAATAAGACCAAAGCAAACAGAAATAGACTGGTGCCCACATCAGCTCCACAGCAGGAAGAAAAGAAAGCAAGTGGAGATGGTCCAGATCTGCTTCACTTGTGTTTATCACACTTGATTTGTGGCCCTACACGGGATTGTCTCTCCCCATCTGTGTTAAGAAAGCAAGTGTTGTACTGCTGCGCCAGGGCAGTGCTGGATTACTGGTGCGCCTCATTGTACGTTCCTAATCAGCATCTCAGTGAGCCAGAAGATTCCCAAGGAGAGTGCAAGGCAGGCTTTCCCAGGCCTGCAGCCCCACAGCCCCCAGAGAAGGCCATCCTCTCCTACCTGCCTACCCATTTCAGCCCAGATTTTGAGGATTGCTGAGTCTCTGGTGAGTCTCCAAGAGAAGGCAGACAGTGCGATGCAGGCCAGTTCACGCATAGCTCTTCTATTTCAGATGTAGCCCTATGCAGTGAATATGGAGAGCAGCTTGAGGAAGCAAAAGGGGGATAACTGAAAGATTAATTTATGGTGTGGTGTGTGTGTTTACAATATACAGCACTGTTACCTCATGTTCTTGGGCAGGTTACAAGAAGGAATAAAGCAATTAAGATTTTGGAAAAAGCCACCAAATCATAAAAGGCACATAAGATAGTCCATGAGAATAAAATAGTATCTTAAAAGCTCAGGGAAATAAGTAGTTTGCCTGACACCAAAGGAATAATCAGGCAGCCACCAGGTGAATCTCTCTGTGGGGAGCTGTGATATGACCACCAAGCAAAACCTTCCTGCAGTAACTTCACCCTCAGAGGGCAGGTACACCTGTGGGAATCCTTCCTGTTCTGGTGAGTACCTATGAAGACAGGTGCTCTTGCAAGAATTTCCCCACTCATTCCATTTTCTTTTAGCAAGTACCTCCCTTTTTCAAACTCAAATTGTATCAACCTCTCCACAAGGGAGGCTGCTAGGCTAGATTTGGGACCCAGGTCTCTAAAACAAAAATTTACATAAAATATGCATGTGCTACCTTATAGTGACGTATGCAAATTTAGTAATTATGAGGAATTTCTTCAAATATCACAACCCAGGAGCTTACTTTCTCACCCCACCTTACAAAAACTTCTACGATTATTACTGGTGCATTTCATTCGTACCTCACCTTTCTTCTTGCAAGGAACCCAGGGTGGCTTATGAGGTTCTTCTCTTTATTTTTTCCTTATAACAACAGTCCTGTGAGATAGGTTAGGTTGCAAGTCCATGACTGGCCCAGAGTTATCCACTGAGCTTCATGTCTGAGTGCAGACTAGAGCTTAGATCGCTTCATTATGCCATACTGCTATATCTTATCCCCAAAATGCCCTTGCAAATTCTGTGATATGCCTGAGTGGTGGCACTGGGTTCAAGAAGAGGCTCCTCCCCACTGTGCGCTCTCCCCCCACATGCATACATTACTTCGATAAATCAGAGGCAATAGTTACAACATATGGAACTGCAACCAATAAAACTCTCCTCCTGCTTCCTCCACTGATGGGTTTTGCTCATGCTGAAGGTAGATAATCTCCACACTTGGAGAAAGGAAGGGATTCTCCATGGCTCAGATTGGCCAGAGGCAGTGAATGTTAGTTGCGGGTGGGGTGGATCTGGATGGGTTGGCCTTTCTCTGGAGAATGAAGCTGCCCTTCCCATCATCAGAGCACATTGGCAAACCAGGTGGTCCCTCAGTGGTGCAACAGTGTTCTGCCTTTGATTGGGATTTTATGACTTCATTTCTGAGGAATTTATATCATTTGTAACTGAATACAGTGGACTGTTGACTCATAAAATA